GGGGGGGCGCGTGCACGGGGAGGGCGGCGGCGGGCGCGTGCCCGGGGGCGGGGCGTGTGCACCGTGCCCGGTGCACGCTGCGGGGCGCGCGATTCGGGCTGCACCGCGCACGTTGCACGGTTCAGGCCGCACGACCCGCGTTGCAAGATGCGTGTTGCACGATTCAGGCTGCGCGGTGCATGATCCACGTTGCAAGATGCGTGTTCCACGTTGCACGGTTCAGGCTGCACGGTGCACGATCCACATTGCAAGATGCGTGTTGCACGATTCAGGCTGCGCGGTGCATGATCCACGTTGCAAGATGCGTGTTCCACGTTGCACGGTTCAGGCTGCACGGTGCACGATCCACATTGCAAGATGCGTGTTGCACGATTCAGGCTGCGCGGTGCATGATCCACGTTGCAAGATGCGTGTTCCACGTTGCACGGTTCAGGCTGCACGGTGCACGATCCACATTGCAAGATGCGTGTTGCACGATTCAGGCTGCGCGGTGCATGATCCACGTTGCAAGATGCGTGTTCCACGTTGCACGGTTCAGGCTGCACGGTGCACGATCCACATTGCAAGATGCGTGTTGCACGATTCAGGCTGCGCGGTGCATGATCCACGTTGCAAGATGCGTGTTCCACGTTGCACGGTTCAGGCTGCACGGTGCACGATCCACATTGCAAGATGCGTGTTGCACGATTCAGGCTGCGCGGTGCATGATCCACGTTGCAAGATGCGTGTTCCACGTTGCACGGTTCAGGCTGCACGGTGCACGATCCACATTGCAAGATGCGTGTTGCACGATTCAGGCTGCGCGGTGCATGATCCACGTTGCAAGATGCGTGTTCCACGTTGCACGGTTCAGGCTGCACGGTGCACGATCCACATTGCAAGATGCGTGTTGCACGATTCAGGCTGCGCGGTGCATGATCCACGTTGCAAGATGCGTGTTCCACGTTGCACGGTTCAGGCTGCACGGTGCACGATCCACATTGCAAGATGCGTGTTGCACGATTCAGGCTGCGCGGTGCATGATCCACGTTGCAAGATGCGTGTTCCACGTTGCACGGTTCAGGCTGCACGGTGCACGATCCACATTGCAAGATGCGTGTTGCACGATTCAGGCTGCGCGGTGCATGATCCACGTTGCAAGATGCGTGTTCCACGTTGCACGGTTCAGGCTGCACGGTGCACGATCCACATTGCAAGATGTGTGTTGCATGGTTCAGGCTGCGCGGTGCACAATCCACATTGCAAGATGCGTGTTGCACGTTGCATGGTTCAGGCTGCACAGTGCACAATCCGCATTGCAAGATGCGTGTTGCACGTTGCAGGGTTCAGGCTGCACGGTCCACAATCTGCATTGCAAGATGCGTGCTGCACGTTGCAGGGTTCAGGCTGCACGTCGCGCGCCACCCCAGCTTCCCAACCCCGAAGGGGAGGAAGGCAGGCACACCTGGCGGGGTTTTCCCTCCGGCTCTCCAAGCGTTTTGGAAGCGGCAGGATCGGCTTGCGACCCCCGTTTCGCGCACCGTGGTAAGGCGGCATGAAGGCCTGGAAACTCTCAGGATTCTTTTGCAGCTTCTTTAAAAGCAAGCATCCTGACGCCTGCGCGTGCAGCTGGAGTCAATCAGCTTTTGCACCTTCACAACAAGGGGGGGAGCGTGCAAGAGGGCGAAACTTGTGCAGCTGCGCCGCCCCGCAGACGTCTGTCACCCTCAGAATTACAAAAATCATTTCTAAAGGTAGATTCGTTCGCGACCCTCCTGAAAACGTACGTACCCCTCGGGAAATCGGCCATCGCTGGGATGGGAGTGCTTAAAATACGAGGACATCGGAGCCGGATCCAGCTCCAGCACTTCATTAGACAGAGGTCCGTGAGCAGCACGCGTTGCGAAGGGACAGATCTCAGTCAGGATCAATCCTTACCACGCCACAGCCAAAGCACTTACCCGCTCCCCCACTAGCTGCGCGTACAGAGTATGCCGGAAAGAGGAAAAAGTGAATTTATCCCAACCTGAAGGTCTCTTTTTTTTTTTTTTGGCAGCTCCGATTCTGCTTTTATTTACGTTACTCTCTGAGCTTCCACGGAATCACGGCAATGCAGGAGGCAGAGCTGAAGCTCAGGCTCCTGGGAGAAGGGTCGTCGTTGCCGGTGGACATTCTGCATTAGGTGAAAGGGTACAGAAGAAATCAGAACAGGCAGAAAACGTGCCCGTTTTCTCTCTCGCATGCGTTTGTGTCCTACCCCCCCCCCCCCGATTTCTTCCCGCCAAAGGCAGGCCCCCCCCTTCAC